TAATTTTCGTAGATTTTTAATGTATTATTATTATTTTTGTCAGAATCAAGTTATTTCTGTGACCATTGTGGGGTTTTAAACCATTAAATAATTTGTCCGTGTGTTAGGGATCTGTTGGGCCCTTAAAACTTTCTATTGATTGTTATTGTCATGTGGCTCGGCGCATTAAGGATCAAAAGCTGCACTGTGGAATTTCTTGCTTCAGATAACTAAAACACAGACTTGCCTTCCTAACCCATAATTGAGCAAGCTCATGCCACAACATGTGTCAGAGTCCATACTAAGCCTCACCATCCTTAATTAGCTAATATCAGGGAAGTGACTCATACTCAAAAATGTTGATATTTATTGCATAATAGCTACAGCACAGTCAGCCTGTTGTTTCCACCAATTGCATGTTTAGTGGTTGTTGACATCGAATTCATATTACGCCTTAGCTTAGAGGCAGGTATCAGCAAAATGACTCAGACCAACCTTGATTTCAGGCAATTTTGATTAATGACATCTGCATACAGGTTGTCAGGAATTGTTATTTAGTTCAGAAAACACATACCTTAGGTAGTAGACAGGTTTTCAGGCATGATTTTTGCCAACCTTGATGAATCAGGTTGGACCTGTTGGTTTGTTGTAAGACCTACAGTTCACACAGTCATTGTTTTGACTGTAAAATAAGTTCTCCATAGAAAGCACTCCTGATCACACAACACCAGACCCCTCAATGATAATCTCACATGGTCTTCTGTTAAATGTTATAATCTTAGAATTTTTTTCAGACATTTTTTAATTTTTGAAATAAAAGTCGTGTCTATTTTATTGTGTCAACATGTCAGTAGGTCAGCTGTCAGAAACCTGCTGACAGCCACCAGTGCTGCTCCAGATAAACACATCTCATGTTCTTACATTAGAGTTGAAATTAGCAGCAATTGGATTTTTAGGGCTTGTCTGTACTGTAGAGATGCACCAGTCAGAATTTTGTGTAAATCTTTGACCCAAAAATATTGTTTAATTTGTTATTCCAGTTTCTGCCCTTGTTTCTTGTGATATAAAAAAATCTAATGGCCTAACCACATAAAAAGGAAACCACTCCCAAATATAATTTTATCTAACTCAGACTTCTTTCTAGCCAGCTGCATAAATACAATTATTTTCAGAGCCTAAATAATCAAGATTACTTTGATCAAATTCTGAAATTTGCATATTCTGAAGTTCCTCAAACCCACTTCTTCCTTGTGTGATGGTAAGGTAAAATTCAAAGAAAATTAGCCAAAGCATGGAGGAGAGAATTGCGCCTGGTAGACCTTCTGTTTATAGCTTTCATATTCAGGAAGTTGACTGTTCTTTTCTACACCAAACATTAATTTGTTTGTATGCAATGTGTGCATTGGCCATAGAGGAAAAATACTCATTAAACCGCTTAATAAAGCTGGTTAGATTGTTCAATCTAAGAGAAAATGTGTCATTTAAATACATGGACTGAAAGGCCATTCCTTGATGAAGAAGCCATAAATCAACAAACAGCATAGATGCCAAATTAGGTCTTTCAATATACCCAGAAGATGATCAGAAAATTAAAAATTTCTGCTGTAGTTCCCCCACTGGATTTAGGTAACCTATGTACCAGGACACTAATCCAACATATCCGACCAATCTGTTGTTTTTTGTATGGGTTTGTAAGTGTTGTAAGCAGGCGCAAAAAGGGCTTCGAGTGCCATGGCTACAAAAGAGGTGCAAGAGTGTAGTATCTTAACTCACAAAGAGCCCCTCCCTCCCTGAGAAGTTAGTTTTTCTACTGTAAAAGAAAATAAGCATATTTTCATTATCACAACTTTGCTTTTTTCTTTTCTTGACATATTACAAAAGAATGTGTCCATAAAGAGATGCATAAATACTGCTCCTTTTACATGGATTTTTAATTCTTCTAAAGTGTTTTTGTAAATTCAAATTACTTGATTGTATTCCTTGAATATTTTTTTTAAAAAGGGGGGAGTTTGCAAGCCTAATTGTCTAGAATAAGGGCATGCTTGAATTATTTAAAAGTATTTTTCTTTGCAGAAATAATTCATGCATTGCAAAGAACAGATGGCATCACATGTAAGAAAAGAAAAATGTTAAGGTTTTTGCAGAGAAATTAAAACTTAGAGTCAAATGGGTTTTCCAAATGGAACATGATCCCAGCCAAGTAAGCTCATTGGTTAAAAATTGGCATATGGAATACAAAGTCAAGGTTTTAAAGTAATCAGCTCAAACCCTTGATCTCAGTCCTTATTGGTAAAAAGCCATATGGATGCAAGGCAGTCTACAAAGTCCCCTCCTGCACAGAAAGGACATTATGTATCTGCCGTGTTGTATTCATGTTGATTAGTCCAAAGGTTTCTAAACTTTTGAGCTTCTACCTCATGCAATGGTACCAGAGTCGACTCAGGACCCTAAATATTCACTCAGTATGCAAATATTTCTACGTAATCAATTAACTTTTTTTTTGTAATCTTGCAAACAGCATCAACAACCCAAGTAGTTGGTTTTTAGGTGATGATTTGATGCCTTCAAGCACCTTAGCAGAAATGTTTTAGTTTCTGTAGTGAATCTTAAGGCAGGTTGGTTAAGGACCAAAATGAAAAGATTTTTAAAATGCTGTTTGTTTTTATTGGTTGCTGATGTTTTTTTTCATAAATTACAGCATAGCTCCATCTCTTTCTGTTGCTCACATGTGCTTCGTTGGCTCCAATTATGCTGTGTTTTTACTTAACATGAATTTTCTGTGCAAGTTCTGTGTTTTTGTTGATGGTTTTGGTTTGTTTGTATGGAAATGTTTGATTGGCACCAAAGGGCCCCGCATACTTCTTTAGCATGTCTTCTTTCCGCTGGCAAAAATTCCTTACCTGTTACGAAAGAGCTTTCTTTTTTTTTATATAATAATAATAATAATAATAATAGTAATTAAGCTATACAAATGAGTTATTTTTTCTAAATATTTTGAAAATACATTCTTGGTTAAAAAAAAATAAAAAATTAAAAGAAGATGTTTCTTCACTAAGTGGGTGAAGATTCTCACTCATCCAGGTCATAATCATTCCAAAAAAAAGTAAAAAACAATCCACTGGACTTTGTTTCCAAGTTTGAAGACGTTTCGCTTCCCATCCAGGAAGCTTTTTCAATTCAAAATGTTAGGAATAGGGTAGAGTTCGAGGTTTTATACAGTAGTTAATCAAAACCTTGTTTTTGTTTTGAAAACATGAAAATTGAAACGGACGAAGGGGTCCACCCCTTTTGGAATGGAGGTCGTTTGGCTTCTTTTGTTAGCCTGCAATGCCCCATACCTGTCTAAGTCTCTGAAAGGAGTGTGGGGGGGTCATTAAAGGGAATCGTTGGCCTGGCTAAATAGGCGAGGTCTTCTGCTCTCCTCTATGGGGGGTGGGGTTACAATGGTAACGGGAAGGGATCAACTCAATTGCTGAATTGTAGGTTTTTGAAAGCTGGAATCAGAGTCCACCCCCTCTGTTTAAGGTTGGTTTTTCTTTCTTACGCCCTCTCAAACCACATATTTTCTTTATCCAAAATGTGAACATTCTGGTCCTCAAAAGAATGTCCTTTGTCTATAAGGTGTAGATGTACCGCAGTCTGGTCCCGAGGAGGTTGCTCTTCTGTGTTGGGCCATGCGTCTGTGGAGAGGTTGTTTGGTTTCTCCAATATAAAGATCAGAGCATTCCTTACTGCATTGAACTACATTCTCCACTCTGCTCATATTTAGTCTGGGGGTTTTGTCCTCAGGATGCACGAGTTGAGATGCACTTTATCCTAAGGACAAAACCCCCAGACCAATTATGAGCGAAGTGGTATATGCAGTTCAATACAGTGAGGAATGCTCTGATCTTTATATTGGAGAAGAACAAAGTCCAGCGGATTTTTTTAGCTTTCATTTATTTTGGAGTTTCTTTACTAAAGAACATAAAAAAGTGCAATATAATTGACTAAACTTGATTCATGGTATGGTATATCAGGTTTATTGTTTACCTATTGAATAGATAAGACCTGCTATCATATGGCTAAATCTTATCTTTTTATGAGCTGCATTTCAAAGAAAAGCCTCTATTAAACTGGAAAGTAGAGATTTGTTTTGAAGGTTAGATGTCAAAGCTGTTTTTTTTTTTTTATGTTGAATGGATCACTTGTCTGTATCAGCCTTTTGGCAGATGGGCTGCTGTATGAATGTAACACTGAGCCTTGAAAAGAGTCTCCAGACATGCACTCCTTTCTGTGTGTGTGTGTGTCCTCCTTTCTGTCCTCTAAACACACACCTCCTGTTTGGAGAGACCCCCCCCCCCCATTTCAGCTGTAGCCCACACATTTTGGCAGGGAGCTGTGAACTGTGGTCACCGTTATTATAAGCGTTCAGTGTTCCCCCCCCCCCCCCCACAAAATCATTGTTGGCCTCCGTAGCGGCACCAAAACCACACGATTAGTGTTCATGCGAGCATTGGGTAAATGTTGCATCTTAAGGATGTGTTTCATTCTATGACTTTGACATGTACTTCTGGGTCACTTCAATTATACAACAGATGAGGTGAAAATAATGTTTTCATGCAAACTTTTCCAATGTAACTTTCGATGTGATGCCAAAAACTAAGAGGGATGGTCAGTTTCAAGAAAAAAAGAGAGGCATTTTTCCTGCTTCTGGCTCTCTGGAATTAATATTGACTCATGTGGCTCTTTCTTTGACTGCTTTTAATCGCTACATTTAAGAAATCTGGCATTGTTTGAAGAGTGGCATGACTAAAGAGGTGACTGAACCATGTATAGAAAGGTGCTCTGAGATGCAACATACATACAAACAAACTATTCCCTTAGTAATGTGGTGGGTAAAGTAGCTGGCTTTTCTTTAGCTGGGGCAGGAGTGATATGAGGTGATGGGATGATAAATAAGAGGCAGAACAAAGCTATGTTTTGTTTTACTTAAATACCCATACATTTAACTGAATATCTTTACTCTGCTTTCTCTTCAGGACCTGCTGCAGGATAACAATGCATCAGATTTGCGTCCTGATTGAGCCAGGGTTAATGCACGTCGGGACACACATGGTCCTGAAGCTGTGACTGTGACCAGAACCGTCAAGGAAATTCCTCCATCCTCCAGGGTCACTTTAGTGGGTTTTTACATTTTTTTTTATCAGCCTATTTGTGCAGCTGCACAAGCTTCTGTTTCCACAACACACGAAAAGCACACACAGTTTATAGACATGCTGTCTCAGGCCCCCACAAAGGTCACTGGTAGCTGAGGTTAAAGCAGCCCATTGGCTGTTTTAACTGAATTCTTTATTATTTTTTTTTCAATGAAAAAAATCATTAAATATTATGTAAGAAAGAAGGAACTTTTCTCTGTTGGACAAAAATGGATACAACCTTTTTTTAAATTATTGAAAATCAATTACATCATTGATAGAAAATTCCAAGCTTTGGTGTTTTGTTCCACATACCTGAAAAACACTAACATCTACTTCCAGCCGCCATGAACAGTAGGGGAAAAAAACCCATGAAGAATTGTCTCGTACGCGAGGAGAGGCTGTTTTGTACGCGAGCAGTGATCGTTTTGTACTCTGCGACAATTTTATGGGTGTAAATAATAATCGTTTTGTATCGATGCATCGATCCAAAAGCCGACGATCCGATGCATCGACACGTCCGCAAGATAATCGATTAATGTTTTTTTTTTCCCCTCCGGTCTATTTTTATCCATTTGCTCCTGGGCGTAATTCTTCCTCCCGTGCTGCGGTGGCGCTAAACCTATTTTCCCCTCCTACCGCGCTTCCTGGTTATACTCTTACAGCAGTTTGTTGCAGCAAGCTTCACACAGACATTTTTAAATTATGCTCAGTATTGAAGCGTGGTCTGGGCTACACGCTGTGGGTCTAGATACGGCCGAGGCGATGAGGAAGTGGGGGCGAGTTTAGTCCGACGACGGAGGGACAATGGGGCAAAAAGAGCGGAGATTCAGCTGGAAAAAGGCTCCCAGCGTTCTCGCGCACCTCGCTCTTCTAGCGGGTCAAACTTCACGAGTTGTTTTCCGCAATTTCGGTCATAAAAACAAAACTAGCCGGCCTCCTGTCTGGTGCACTGTTTGCGGTCAGCTACAATCTGGGAGAGGTGCAGCGGAGCGTCTCTCAAGGGGCGGTGACGTCAACACTCTGGAGCCTTCTTCTTCTTCTTTTTTTTAATGGCGGTTGGCAAAGAACTTATAGGTGCATTACCGCCACCTTCCAGAATGGAGTATGGACCAGACAAACTATTATATTCTCCCTAAAATACCCGTTCTTCTTAGAAAATTAAAAATACCCCCAAAAACTACATCCCCAGATGACCTTTGAAACAATTCCCTTATATGTAGTTTATTTTTATTCCTGTCTAACTCTCTACACAACATCTCTCTTTCCTGAATATATTTATTACATTCTAAAAAAATATGTTGGACAGTTTCTCTGGAGCCGAGGTATTGCATTGAACTCATTACACTGATATTGTGCAGTATTTTTGCAGTATTTTTTGATGCAACTTTTCTACTTCTGTTATTTGCTGTTGTTTCTAAAGAAAATGCATAATGATATTACAGCTTTCATTGATTTATTTCAAACTTGAAACTTTGTTTAGCCTGTAAGGTGTAAAAAAAAATAAAAATAAATAATAATAAAAAAAAAATTAACCAATTAATCGATTAATCGAATCGAATCGAATCGAATCGTGGTGTATTCTTAAGTATCGAAAATAATCGAATCGTTGGATCAGGAAATCGATACTGAATCGAATCGCCATGATGGATGTGATTTACACCCCTAGACAATTTACAAACTATATCTTCAGTGTAATGTTAGAGTCCGGTTTGTAAAACTAATTTTTGTGTGTGTGCTACATTTAAGGACAGTTTGAAAAAAAGTTTTATTTGTGTGTGACATTAGATCAGAGTTTGTAACACAAGTATTATTTGTGACCAATAAGTTTTATTTGAATGCAACATGTTTAATTTGTGAGTGATAAGATTTGTTTGTGTGAAACATGCTTTATGTGTGTGCGCAACATGCATTTTTGTTTACGTTTTGGCAGAAAAATAACTCCATAACAATATTTAGTGATATTAAGTATCATGACTCGTATCATATTGCGATATTGATTTATTTGGGGAAAGAAAGAGTTTTACGATTACTGCCTTTTTCTGCTATAACAAATATTTTAAAATTCAGGGCTACCAGTTAAAATCTGAACAAATGATGATGCATTTGTATATAAGAATACTTTTAGTTCTTTGTTTAAATATCTGCTATTTGATTGATACCCTAGTTTCAATATCATAATGCTTTACTTTTGTTTCAATCATACAGGGAGATCAACACCAAACTGAAGTCTACTGGGAGATGGCCTCTGATGAAAACCAAACTAAACCAGCATCTGCAGCACCATTTCACCATATTTACCCCCTATCCAATGGGAGCAGACCCAGAAGAGAAGATAAACGCGCTGCTAATCTGTCGGAAGAAGGGCGGAGCTCTGAACAGCTGCGGCTTTCAAAGCAGCGGAGCTGTCCTTCACCCCCCCACTGCAGGAAGCGGTCACGTGACAGTGTCAAGGGGAATTTTTTGGATGAAAGTTATAAAGACTTTGAGCACAGCTCGGAGGTCTCCGGTGCCACAGAAATGCTTTATGCCGAACTTTCTGTTGAACGTATTGAAAAAAAAGCTGTGATATTTAGGAAGGACTCAGAGGGGTCTGTGTTGCTGGAAACCCAAGGAAATATTATGAAGGAAGATGGAAACACGCCTAGCAACAGTCCATGTTCCTGTGGCTTGTCTTACTTTCAGAAAAGTCTGGATTCTTACTTATGCCACAGTGTTAAGTCCGCTCCGAGGCCCAGCTCCAGCTCCACTCCAGTTCAACGATGTCATCTCCGCCGTGGTAGTCTGCCTGTGTCCATGCTGGCTTTTCGTAAGGTAGCCCAAACAGTCCTCATTTATAACTCATTTGTTAAAGCTCTCATTTAGCATTTAAAAACATCACATTAGTGTTGGAATTATTATTATTTTTTAATCCTTTCCTCTTAGGGCAGTCCCTCCAGTGAGCCGAGCTCTTTGGCCTCCTCTCCCTGCTGTTCTCCTGAACGCTGCGGTTGGCAGCGCAACAAAAATGGGCACAACCGTCTGTATCGCCTCAAGGATGGATATTCAAGTTTAGAGAGGCTAAACAGAAAGCCAAAGTTGCAAAAAACCCCATTGGAAAGGGTATTCGCTCGAAGGGCTTCTCTAGAAACGATCCCAGCAGCATTGGGGGAATCCTCAGGAGGAGCTGCAATCTCCAACTGGGGGAGCAACAGCAGCGAGGAGGAAGACCTGTTGGATAGTGCAGGGTTTGTCAGTGAGCGTAAAGGACGGTCCACCGTGCTGGTGAGGCGGTTCTACAAGAATAATAAGAAGGTATTTGCAGCCATTAATGTTTATTTTTCAACAAGTATGTATAGTGTCTTGAAAAGTATTCATAGCCCTTTATTTTATCATAGACCTGCAACAGGTAGTGCATTTTGAGGCTTTGAATTTTTTCAATTAACAGACATACATATGCACATTCTTTACTCTGTTATCTATGGAAGGAACCCAGCTGAAAGGTCTAATTTCTTTAATGCATAAAACAAACTTCTCTCTTTGTTTGACAACATCAGTCAACAAAAAGAAAAAGAACAGATCAGAGAAACAACTTAAATAAACTTTTAAAGCAGATTTATGGCTATTATCCTTTACCCCATGCCTTAGACATCTTATCTTGCAATAAAGAAAAGTATTATAAATTCGCACCACACTTTTCAGAAACAAAACATCCAAATATGATATAAGTGAAGTTTATTTTAGCTACTTCTTTTTGCTTTTCTACATTGATTTCAAATATGCATTCATAATAGTGGTATTAATGTATCTATGAGGTTGAAGGCATGTCAGTGTTTAGATTTAGGTTCTCTTCAGTGGATTTTATAATTTAAAACATTCTTTAAAGCCTCTATATTTCTTTCCATTAGGTGACAAAGTCAGTGTGTGCAGGAACCAGAGCAATTGTCAGGACATTGCCCTCGGGTTGCATTTCAGAGGAGGCCTGGGAGATCATGGTTAAATACAGACTGTGGCATCCTGCCAAAGAAGATGTGTGGCCAACGTTGGTGTGTGGAGATCATTTCAGAGGCTGCAGAGAAATGCTTTACTCCATTAGAGTGAGCCCACACCTGGTAAGAGCTGCAGATGCATGAAGACTCTAATATACAGTCATTTAATAGATCATTTGTATTATTTTTTTTTAGATTGTAAGCTATCTAGATTTGAAGGGTTTAGGCTCAAAAAAGAAGGACTTCTTTTTAACATCTAAGTCTACGTTCACACCACAGTGCTCAATTCAGATTTTTTGTGAAATCTGATTCTTTTGCGTTGTCGTTCACATTTCTAAATATATGCGACTTGTATGTGATCTCCTGCATTCAGACAACTTAAATGTCCTGCACGCGCAGTAGAGGACGCCATGATGTTACAGGCGAGGGTGCTCTGTGTTTATGGAAGTAAACATGGATGGTGGTGCTTGAGTGCATCTAGCGATCTTTCCCAATCTCAGCCAGTATATTAACAATACAAAGTTTTCAAGAGGGTTGAAAATAAATACTCACCACCACATTATCGTCCTCATTGGTTGTTGTTTTTCTTCCTGGTTCTGCGCAGCAAGATGAAGAATAGTGACCTTTGTTGAGTATTAATGGGCTTCAGGTCCGATGAATGCGACCTGTTCACACACAGGTCCCATTTAAAAAGATTCAATTCAATTCAGTTTATTTATATAGCGCCAAATTCACAACACATGTCATCTCAAGGCACTTTACAGTTCAACCAGATCATACAGTCAAATTGATACAAAGTTTTCTATCTAAGGAAAACCAGTTGATTGCATTGACTCATTGACTCAAATACAATCCCCCACACTAAGCATGCTTGTAGCGACAGTGGAGAGGAAAAACTCCCTTTTAACAGGAAGAAACCTCCAGCAGAACCAGGCTCAGTGTGAGCGGCCATCTGCTGAGGCCGACTGGGGTTCAAGGAGACAGAAGCAGAGATACAAAAAGCAGCTGTAAAAGGCGGCCCCGTCCAGGAAACACACAGCCAGGCAGACGAGCTCCAAGGCAGCTCCCATGCCAGAGGACGAAGAGAGCACATCCACTCAGTCACGGTCAGAGAAACAGGACCACACTGGAAAACAGGCCGATCTCCAACATCTATTAACAAGGGTGTTGATAGAAGCAGCACAGCTGATGTTTTTTTTCCAGGATGACGTCACAGCCAAACAGGAACAGACGAGGCAAAGCTACTCTGAGGAAAAGCAGAGAGAGCAGAAGGTTAGAGATTGAACTAACAGATTCTGCAGAATAGGAGAACAGAGAGAGAATGAAGCAGAATGATGAAATGGGGGTCCCTATGTCCTCCAAAAGTCTAAGCCTATAGCAGCATAACTATAGAGATAGCTCAGGATAACCTGAGCCACCCTAACTATAAGCTTTATCAAAAATGAAAGTTTTAAGCCTAGCCTTAAAAGTAGACAGGGTGTCTGCCTCACGGACTAAAACTGGTAGTTGGTTCCACAGGAGAGGAGCCTGATAACTAAAAGATCTGCCTCCCATTCTACTTTTAGAAATTCTAGGAACCACTAGTAAACCTGCAGATTGAGAGCGAAGTGCTCTGTTAGGAACATAAGGAACAATCAGATCTCTCAGATCAGATCAGATCAGATACGTATCGGTTTCAGAACCACATAGCCAAGTAGCCTGGGTCACATTTGAACAAATGTGATCTGTCTTGTCCAGACTGTCATGAAAAGATCAGATTCAGGTTGCATATGAGCAAAAAAGGTTGGATTTGGGCCACTTCAGGCTGCAGTGTGAACGTAGCCTTACGTCCTCCAAAGCAGGGGTCTTGCAAGCTATGGCAGCGGAGCTGCATGTGGCTCTTTAGACACTCCACAAACTCCCATGGAATTTTCATGACTGTGGCTAAAAATGATGAAGAGCCAGCTAAATATTTTAACAACAGATATACTAACAAATGCATATTTTAGCATTTTCCTTACAGGCTAATCACATTGAATAAAAAAAAGACAGAAATACTTTATTTGGAAGAAAAAGTCTGTTTTTTTTTTAACACATTTTTGCAAAACTACCAGCAAACTGGTGGATAACTGGTTAAGTGTAAGTCTTTTTTTTTTTTTTTTAAAGGTAATGTAATGTTTCTGGCTCTAAACAGGTTTTATTGGCTGGACTGATTTAAAAAAGATGCCACTTTTGGTTGTAAGGTTGCAGACCCCTGGCCTACAGAGATACCTTGATTAAAATGAATTCGTGTGATTTTTTTAAAGGTTGAAGTTGTTTTCCATAATTGAGTGTTTTGAGTTATACTGGTGTCTGATAAAGTCTTGGAAGAGAAACAAGAAAGTAGAATTTATGCTTTCATCCATGTTTTAAGTTCTAAGGCATCGTATGGATCTGGAATCCTTTTCCTCATAATGACTCATTGCACAACTCTTTTCTTCTCTTTCATAATGCAAAGAAATCTGGAAAAAACTCTGGAATTAAGGGAGAATAATGTTTCCCGGCAATTGGTAGCCTCTGTTTTTGTTTAAATGTTTTGCCTGTAATGCATAGATGAATAAATTTGTTCAAGGAATATGTTAATAGACCATGTACACACACACACACACGCACCAAAACACACAGGCTCTTTGTTCAAGTGAGGCCCCTGCTGTGGAAAATGATTTATTCTGTTAGTTCTGCTACCCGTATTACTGAAGGGTTGAATGACTGAGCTCTCTTTCTGCTGTGTGTCTGTGTAAATGGACTGAGCTCAGTTGGCATCTGTGTTACATTTACAGCTACAGACATTGTACAGAGATGGAAGATGGAGGAACAGAGACTTTGCAGAAAGTGTTTGGTAAACATGTGAATCTCTCACAGGACCCGTTTCACTTTTTCAACAACCAATTGGACTCTTTACAGCTTTTTCCCCCCTAGATTTCAACAGAACACGATAAGTGATAAGCCATGCAGTTCGGTTCTCAACTTTGAAACATGATGCGTGGGCTGACGTTCAGCAGCATCACGCAGGATGCTCCCCTGTTTTTGTTTTACGTTATCTTTCTCCTCCTTTTCCTTTAAAAGTCAGAGTGCAATGAAACTTAAAGCTTTTAAACACACTATAAATTCAATTGTTTTAGAACTGTACTTGGACTATAATCACACTTTGGCTTTTTTTAAATGCAAACTAATTAAAGAGGAAAAGGCTAATATTATCTAATAATTGAGTAAAGTGAAAATTTTTTTCATTTATAATAAGGGCAACACAGGTATTTGGAAGTGGAAAAGAGAAGTTGTCCCATGAGCATGCAAGTAACGTTAAGTAAGTCCTTCTTTGAAGGTCTTCAAAAAGAAAAAAACAGCATAACAATGAACAAAGAGTGCAGCAGGTAATCAGGGATATAGTTGTATAGAAGTTGAAAGCATGGCTGGCCTGTTAATTGGAAATTTTCAAAGAAATGGTCCTAAACGGACAGGCCAGGCAGGAGGGGCAATAATCAGAGAAATATCAGAGTAGCCCTGGGACATCCATACATCCCATTTGGAAGATTGCCTTAAAGAAACCCTTTGCTGAAGGAAGCCTTTGGAAAGTCCAATTCAAATAGGCAGCAGTTCATTAAGACGCAACAGATATGTGGTAGAAAGTGTTATTTGCAAGTGATGCAGGGTTTTCCCCAGAAAACTGAATAAGTGGGGGTCTCCAGGGTAGCCCACCCACTGCCAACAATATTTTTGTCAGAAAAATATTGAAATTACACCGAAATGGGTAAAATATGAGTATTTGATTATGTATTTTTAAGAATACATTAGCACCTATAGAGTCTTAAAACAAGCATACTTATAAAGTACTGTTCTACATAAGGAAGAAGTATGAAAATAAATATTTTTTTGCATTTAAATTGCATATTATTAATAATGATCCGGTGCATCTAAACATAAGCAGAGTAATGCAGGTATTGTTAACACAAAGTGCAAACGATGAACCGTATCCACATAGATGTTGCATCTTACAGATGGTAATAAATGTACCTTTTCTTACTTGCTTTTGTATCTGAAATGTTTCTACACCTCAAATGTTAACGTACATATTGGGTCTCCCTACAGTGCAGAGAGCCAATATGTACTTTTAGCACATCTTGGCTCTGTTTCAGGGTGAGCTCTGAAGACTGAACCAACCCGACCAAATATACCAGGAAAAAAAAAGCTACAGCTATAAACAAAGCATATCTAATGTTGAATATTATGGCAGCATAAAAATTTAAACCAAGATTAAATTGCCCTGCATATATTGTTACAGTTTTATTATAATGCAAAACATATTTACCATGCTCAGTCTTGTTGATTTAGGGCCATCTTAATATTTTGGGTTAAATATCTCTATATTCAAGCAGCATCTCAGCTAATATTAATGAGTTCTGCTCAATGCTGTGCACTCTCATTGGTCAGCAGGTAAACAAATTACTTCCAGGTCTCCTCCACTGCTCCTCCAACTTCGGAATAAAAGTGTCCGAACCTTACTATGTGACACGTAGCATTATTTGAAGAAGTTTGTTGTCAGAAGGTAGGGAACAGGCAGTGGTTATTTTGGTTCACGTTATGGGAAAAAAACCCCACTGTCCTTTGCCTTTGCCAAGTACAGTATGGACCATAGGGTGTTACTATTTGTGTCACTGTTACTAGTTTATTACACTGGATTTAGAATATATAAACAAACAATGCATAGTCTGGCGGAGGGGCAACTAAAGCCTGGCAGCCAACCAGGCTTATAATACAGTGGGGGGAAACCCTGTAATGATAAAATAGAATATTTTTGAACAACATGCAGCACAGCATGTTTGCTGAAAATCCCATGGAGTTTATTCTGAATTAACCATTCACTGTTGGAAATGTTTTCCTCGGCAGTGACAGGAGAGTGGCGCCAAGTTAATTGGGAAATTAGTGGAGTTAAATATGCAGCACAACTTCTGTTAGAGTTTATAAATTGGCATTAAGATTAACCTTCAGCGGGTCAGTGACTCTAAAGATACAACCAGAGATGGAAATATTTTAGATGAAAGTATATTCAGATATTACTATGGCCTTGTTACAGTCCAAAGCTTAATCAAAATGAGAAATTTGTTTTA